ACGGACCTCATACTTACATTTCTTCGCATACAAAGACAGCGCATCGGAAGAAACTGAGTGCTACGTTTATCACTGTTTTGTCTTTCAGACGATTCATCATCTGTAGAAGAAGGACCATTTGCATTCAGTGTAGACCTTTGGATGACATGAACGAGTCTAATCGTTCCGCCTCGAGGTACATAATTTTCCACAGCCCATTTAAGAGCGTGACAACTTGTTTTATCTCTGTCGATTGCAATAGCTATAGGCCTTTCCCTTATATCATTTCTCTCCATATTTTCTCTCAAACTCGAGTTCATTGCTAGTCAAGAAAACGTTTTATCGGCAAACCATGTACTAATTGAATCAAGAAATATACATTCTTCATTTAAAGGAGAGATCAATTCATACACTCAGATTTTATCAATGAAACATCTAGTTCTTGGAGAGAAAAGAAAAAATGAAACCAGGAACACACAAGACTCTGAGTAAAGCCAATATGAGATTTGCAAAGACTCAAAAGATGTGTAGAGAACTAAATATTAAGGAAAAACTAAATCCCTTCCACTTTGGGAGGAGAACCGGATCTTTGCTAAAAATAGAACTGTTATCATCAACAAGTGTTAATGCAGGGACAAAACTAACCACAGGCCACAAAAATTTTGTTAATATAAAGATATAACTTGCCAACAAGTATGTTTCAAACAGCAACATGAAACAAATTATCGAACAACGGTTTGCAAATTTACCTGCCTGTTCTGAAAACAGATCTGTTGGAGCTGACAATGTAGATATCACCTCGGAGAATTGGGAGAAAAATCTTCCAGGTTCATACAAAAGCTCAAATGTATGTATCAGTTTCTAATTATTGATCATCTGGCCTAAGCACAAACCAAATTCATAATTATGTAAGATTAAACAATGAAGCCCTCTAGTTTAGGCCTAGTCCCCCAAAGCACAAAAAACTGGAATATGCATCAACCAATTGTTGGTAATTTGATGTATGTCATATATCTCTCTCTATATGTGATTTTTTTTTTCTTCCATTTTTGGTCTTTTAATTGTCAATTCGTTTTTCGTTAGAGATGAAAATATTTTAGAAAACTCGAAAATATCAACTTGAAATGAAAAGTATGATTTTTTTCTTCTTATTATTTGATGTAAATCACTTTTATATAAAAAAATGATTCATTTAAAATGAAAAATAATTAATTTTTTCAATTAATATTAGATATACTCTTGCGGTTTGTATTGTTGCTCTACCGATTACAGATACACACAAGCTTGGTCCGGGGCGCACAATAGCCGCAGGCAAAGAAAGAAACAAGAAAACAAGAATCTGTGTATCTTCTTCGTTATCCTAATTTTCCTAAACCTACCCTTTGTCTTACCTCGATC